GGGTATAACACACACACAGAGAGCACAGACAAAAAATCAAAAATATAACAGAGGTTCCAAAGCAAGTAAGCACATGGAGGCATTGTTGGGAGGGGGGGAAAAAAAAAAAAAAAAAAAAAAAATCACATTGAAGAACAAAATAGTTTCAGGAACAGTTTTCCTACTATTCATCATCTCCTCATCCAGGACACTGGTCTCAGTAGCTTCAAAGAACCCCGTATCTTGTTCCTACTGTTCACCCTCCATGTCACTATCATCTCTGCCAGCCTTGGCACAGGCCACTCCTTAGGTGTATCTTCTGCAAGCTATGGCTCCAAAGAGCTCATCCATGTCAATCAGCCAACCATGGGAGATAGTGAAACTTTTTTACCCACATCTTCAACGCTTGTCAATGTTATGATTTTTCTCTAACTTCCCAAGTTAGCTCAACTACAACCCCACTTACTAGCAAGTTTCTGTTCAGAGAAGAGTGCAAGCTACGCAACAGCAACGCAGGTTCTCGCCCACCATCCTCTGGTGGGTGAAACAAGAGGTGGTACACCTAGCACAAAGCACATTTGTCACCAGCATTGTTAGAATTTGGCTACACATGTAGTCGGCATAAGGCAGTGAAGGAGACCCTTTCTACACTTTATCTAACAGACTCCAGAGGCAGCAGACTCAAAACGAAATTATGACACAAGGAATAAGTCCCCTTTAAACAAAATGTCTCCACCTTTCTCCAAAAAAATTCTGTCTGAAGAGTGCTTGAAATCTGGAGTTAGTGAGATTACATGAAAAGAAGGGAGGCCATGGCCGCACTGTAAAGCTGACCTCACCAAATAGCCAATTCTTATTTACTTGAATAAGTTCTTAATAGCTCTTCCTTTTCTTTGCATATGCTGCACACAGGTATACATCTCTGCACATAAAACCAGAAATATCACCAAATCAAAACCCTCTAATTTTATGAAATGCAATTCAAGACATGGCTTCAATTTCTGGGCATGTATTATATGGCAAGATTTTGTTCCATCCCCACGTTCCACCACGTTGTCCTAAATCACCCAGTTCACAAGAGCTTGTCTACAGTACCTTTTATATATTCATTATGTCTCAGGTGAAATGATTTGCACTGAATAAACAGTAGAGTTCTCTGATATTTAAAGAAATAGAAAGGTATCAGAAGTCCTGTGAACTGGCAAGCTGGTCACCTAAAAATACAACTTTGAAAATGCTCGCTGTATTTTTTCTGACCCAGAATCAAATTTGCAGAAATATATTTGCTGCAAGCTAAACACCGTGAGCAAAATCAAAGCAGTACAATCAATTGCAATACTCTATCTCACACAGAATTAAGATAATGAATTTATGAAGAATAGATTAATTGTTACAAGCACCAGCCAGGCTTAAGTTACTTCTCATTACAAACTGCTTGACTTTATAACCTTGGAATTCTTAAGATGAATAGGATTTATACATTTGTAAAACATACACAGAAATCCCATAGAGGATAACAAATGCAATTTTTTTCCTCCATTGTTGGCACTGAAGATTGATGTTGGAAAAAGATGGAGAACCAGTTTAAAAATAAATTATAATGATTTTTACATGGAAAAACTGACTACAGATAAGAACAAACAAGATGAATTTGTTGAATCAACAGATTAGTAACAAATTCACAAGATCAAAAACCTGAGTAGGAGCAGCAGATATTTTCCAACCATCTGATTGCACATGGGAGAGAAAATTTTAAATAAATAAATAAACACACTTTAACTCTGAATCTAGTCTAAATTTGAAAAAAAAAAAAAAAAATCAGTTTTAGGAAAATTTCTAGGAACGATGTCAAATAGTAGCAACCATATTGACTTTTAAGAGAAGTAACCACACAGCTTCAAAACATGAGCCAGAATAACTGTTTATAAAACATGGAAGTCACATAAACCGTACAGAGGCTCATGATTTCACCCAAATCATTTTTTTATGGAAGCCACAGTATTAGAAATAGAAGTTGATAGAAGTAACAAATAACTTTTCAGAACGCCAGTAGAAGTCAAAAAGCACAGGATAATTCAAATGCATCCACCAATGAAGCAGTAATTCAGGAACACTTCTAAAAGAAGTAAATCCTCTATTTTACAGACAGATTTGGAAACCGGATAGCACTCATTAAGAATATAATTTCTTTTGGTCAAAAGCTACATCTTAAATTATATCCTAATAGTCTCTCAAATTTTTGCATATTATATAACTGAGAAAGTTCTTTCATTGCATGCATGATCTAAGAGGGGAAAAATATATGATGTATTATCATTATGGAACAAAATGATTTACAATGTAAGTAACTTAAATAATTCAGAATTCACTCAGGCATCATTCAAAACTAAGGAAGTCTTTGCAGAGCAATCTTGCTGGTTTCTTCTTCCCCTTGGGGCCAATAGCTCACACAGGAAAAGCAGATTTCTTGGCTAAAGGAGTGAAATGAGAATATTCTAGCTAGATGACCTGGATTCACAAGGTGATAAGAAATTTAACAACTTTCCTACACTATGTCAGCAGAAAACCTGTGAAACTGCTTACAAGTCACATATTTACTTTTTCCCCTACTGTACTAATAAGGAAAATAATGATTTGCCATAAGAATCCTAAATTCCAATCTGTGATGAACATGAAATATTTAGAAGAAAGCTACTAATGCATTTAAGCTAGTTAATTTTGTCACTTTCAAAAAAAAAAAAAAATATAGTATTGGCCATACCTAGAACAGTTTGAGGCTGCAATTCTTGAACTATATTAATGTTGACATTCAGGAACAGCATTTATTATTCTTTATTACAGAAAATGTATGGAACTGCTGATCTTCTATGAATTTAGACTTTTATCATGATTTACTCGTTTTCAATTGACTCGTGTTTAATTGACTCAATGCAGAGTAGCACGGAATTGCTGAAGTATCACTTTTCCCTGAACATATCAACAGTTGACTAGCTTAAATTCCACCTATGGACTGCTAAACATTACAGAGAAACTGGCACTCAGTCTGATAATGCTAACTTACAGTGTGCCTGACCAAGTTATTTTATGAACTAAGCTGTTAACCAGCACACACCAGTTTGCCTGTTATTTCAAGGCACTTTGATCAGAGTGATACCAAAGGGCAAGCACTCAGCTTATCTGGAAAACAACAAGGAGAAGAATCAACCCTATATTTCAGCTTCATTCACACAGAGAAGCAACTCCTCGCTGTCCTTTAGGTAATGCAGTTGCCAAGACCCCGAGCCACCTTCAGCCACAAGGGACTAAGTCGAAGCAGTGCAGCAGGTCCCCACGTTTTAGGCAAGGCACTGCTAGATGGCTTCCGGTATCTGCGCTCCTCATTATACCACCCTTCTACGGGAACACACACATTTCCCTGTCATTCAACAGAACATAATACAGTCGTTAACAGATCAAAAGAGCTTTCTGTTGGTCCTCCAGGCTGCACTATGCCTCTGTGCAGACAAAAACACCAGAGTTATCCTCCTGGGGCATGCAATAATCGGTGAACAGAAGGGGTCAGCAGCAACATGTCACTTCCCCTGTATCAATCCCCAAAAGAGACAAAGAAGCAGTGAATTCACTTTTTTCCCCTACAGTACCAGCCACAAGGCACTGATGTAGAGTGTTAACTTCTTCTAGGCTTAGGATTTCTGAGAGTGCATTGCATGACTGCATTCTGCACAGCCACAAAAGAAACACTCCATTCTATTTTAGCAATATTAGGCTCAGTCACATTTCAAAGTTACTATCTGCACACGAAATAACTTCCAAGAGCTTATTCTGAAAACAGGTACATGCTACAGTCTGTACATCGATATGCGAGTTACCAAAGACTAAAGCTTTCAGTTTAATACGAACTGAATTTTTAACATTTTAAAAAATAAACAGGAGACAACTGACAAAAATCCTGAGAACAGAGTCCTCTCTACACTCCAACTTCCAGTTGCAGGAGAATTTAGCTGGAAAAAAGTTTTCCGAGCAGCTGCAACATTCTTGCAGTACAATTCTTCACAGTGTCACAGTATCTCACACATTATTAAATATGAAGATACAGATATTTTTGTTTAACATCCTCACCATAGGCAACCAATGCAAAGATAATCAGTGAGGTCAAGGTCTCCTTGGTCAAGCAGTTCAAGATGTTATACTGTGAAGGCATCTGGGGGCCAAGAGAGAACTTACAGGCTAGATGCCCACGTTGTAAGGTCTCTACTTCTTGTCCATCACAATCCTGTACATGCATGAGGCTTGAAATTAACAGTTTCAGTAGCAGTAAATCTTCACTCGCACAAAGCTCAGAAAGACGTTACCCATAGTGCATTAATTACAACTGCACTTTCCTGA